GGCAGCAGCAAAGCCTGGGCCACCTCGAGGTGCCTGTGCAAGTTAACGGCTTTGGTGGAACGTGACTTGGTGACGTGGTGAGCTGCTTTCCTAGTACAGAGACACCAGTGCCACCCTCCAGGTTTAGGGATGTTCTTGTGACTGACACCTACACAGCTGCCATCTGGGGGTGCTGATGAGGCAGGGAGACTTAAGCCAGAGGCAGGTAAGCCAGATGCATGTGGAGCATGTTTTCACCAGCTGAGGAGCCATGCAGACGCTCTGGGGGAATACAGGGGACGGAAGTACCACTGGTTTTAGCTCCCATTTTTCCTTATGAAGTATTCTCTTGGACAGTTCTTTTTACTCCTTCCCAAACTGCCCAGTCAGAGCAATAGTCCTCATACTCATGAACCCCAAGTCCACAGTCCAGAAGGAGTCCTCTGGCAGTATCTTGCATGGGGTACTTATAATTGACACTCTGGGGACAAGAAGGCTGCAAGTAACATACAGAGAGAAAGTTCAGTTCTAACGAGAGGCCTGTGTGGCTATTGGGAAAGTGGGGTGTGGCTCTGGTGACCACTGTGCCTCTCACACTGGCCAGATTGTTCTGCACTGTTGTTTGGGAGCCCCGCATTTCTTTGGGGTTGGAATATCTCCTGCTGCCTGCTTTGGAAATCCGACTGCACTGGAAGTACCTACCTGGTGCACACGGGCCTTTTCTTGGCACTGCGCTTCCTTCCAGTCGGTAGACTTTGCTGTGTGCCAGGCCCTTCACTAGGAGCAGAACACTATCCCTGTGCCAAGGTGCCCAGCGTTCAATGGAGATGACTGGGAAGCTCCTGGAGAGGAACTATAGACAACTAAAATGTCTAAGCTTATTGTGAACAGTGTTGCTGAAGGCTTCAATACTGGGGTGATTTTTCTTAGTTGCCCTTGAACAAAATTAACTTACTAAGTATGATTTCATGCTTTTGTGTTTATGTTTTAACATGTACTATCAGACCTCTTTTTATGTGTGTTTTTGAGGGATATTTTGTGAATGATATGAGAATGCATATGTGAACCTGTCACTTTCCCAGCTCTTGCTTGTGCTTAATGTTGCCAGTTGCCATGGCAACCCCTCAGGCAGCCAGCAGAGCCCTTGCAAGGGACACCCTCCTCTGTGAACGTGGGCGTGGGTACCACTGGAGGGACCCTTGTTCTCATGGGGGAACTGTATGAGACTGTTCAGAATTGCTCTGCAGAATTGCTCTGCTACTCGGGGCTTGTTCCATGCTGGAATACTGGTCTGATTACAAATACTTCTGTCATTGAGTGGAGGTGGTTGTGCTCTGTGCATTAGCGAGGTGAGCAGCACAGTCCCAGAAAAGTCCCAGGGGTGACTTGCTTGTTCAGCTGGCCCACCATGTGGCAGTGGGACCATGGCTCCGGTGGAGAGAGGCTTCCTTTCCAGCGGCAAACTGGGACCCAGGGTATGAGAACCCAGGGTGTTTGAATAACATAAATACGGGAAACATGCAAGTTTTCATGCCAGTTTTGGAAAATGAGTTCACGTTCTAGGAATTACTCTTGTTCCATTTTTAAATCTCTTTTTCTGTTCTAATCCAGGTGCAACGTTAGAGGAAATAAACCAGCACTGGGACTGGCTGGAGCAAAATCTCCTGCACACTTTGTCTGTCTTTGATAACAAAGATGACATTGCCAGTTTTGTCAAAGGGAAGGTAAAGGTAGGTCCCTTGATTTTAATATTTGTCTTCATCTTCTCATCTTTCTGATAACTTTCTGGTGGCATTGTGAACACTGCAGCATACCAGCAGTTTCCTCCAGCCTAGCTGAGCCTTTTGGTCTAATGCATAAAGCCAAGTGAACTAGACTTGTCTCCTGTTGAACTTTGCAGAGTCAGTCAAGCAAAGTAGACCTGAAATTTTTTTGAAAAATGACCTCATCCTCGGGCCTACTTTTTGTTATTTTTTTACAGAAGAGAAGGCCCGTTTTTGTCTCAGGAAAAAACCTGCGATGTTAAAATTTGTGTTTTTGCAGAGCAGCACGTGACCTGATTCCTTAAATTAGTTACTCCCAACTTTTTTGCAGCTGTGACATCTTGCCACTCTATTTTGTTGGACCTAGCACTTTCCTCTCACTAGAAGTGGATGTTTATTCTTACAGTATGTAAATTAAATGGAATTAAAGCCAATTAAGTTTTGATTCAGTAAGAGAGGAATATTTTGCCAGGTACCTGTTGATACCTCCTATGTGTTACAGTCTTATATATCTGGTCTCATTGCGATAGCACTGTGTGTAATTGGTGCTTTAAAAACCTTATCAGGCAGGGAGAGATGGTTTCTTGTTCTAAATTTAACTCTTTTATTAAACACTTTTCCTCCCTTAGAGCATTGATTTGTTTGTCTTCCTTAAAAACCTGGCTTTCCAACACCTCAAGTGCTACGGCTTTTAGTAGAGGTATCAGAGCAAGTTTTAGGTTTTAGAGGAACAGAATAGAAGCACCCTTCGCCTTTGTGGAATCGGGTGAAAAGCAAAGTCCTCCTGAGTTGCCAGTGTTGGCTGGTATCCTCGTGCTGTAACCCTTGGTCTTTGGGGTTGGGGTGGGTCCAGGCCATGGTGGGGGACGTGTCCAGCACTTCAGTCACCCCCTCAGCTTGGTCTGACTGGCTGTGGCTCAGTTTCCTGGGTTAGGAAACTGTAACGTAGGTTACAGTGATTCTTTGATTTAGGTGTTTGTTTTCTTTTCTTTTTTTTTTTTTTTTTTTTTTTCTTTTTTGTCTTTTTTCGTGTCCGGCAACGGATCGCAACCCTCAGTGTCGCGCCTGTACCGGACCCGGACCGGGACCGGCAACGGGATCGCAACCCTCGGTGCCGCGCCCACATCTCGCTCAGCCAGTGAGCGGGAACCGGTCTGTATGTGGGATCCGAACCCTCGGCGGGAGTGCCGCCGCGCTCCCAAGTGGCGCACTGTAGCAGTGCGCCACCGGGCCGGCCCAAGGTGTTTGTTTTCTTGATTTGGAGAGAGGACGTTCGTTTTTGTTGTAATGGTATTAGAAGAGCTTCTGTAGAGGAAGAACACTCTTCCTTTACCCCCCTTGGTTCTGTGGCTGGGGCCCTGGAAATTAAACGGACAAAAGACAGACTAACAAGAGAAAAACAAGCAGAGTTTATTTGAATGCAGGCAGCCCGCCCGCCTGCGCATGGCAGAAACTCAGTGATGACTGACTCACAGGGGTGGGTGCGACTTGGGCTTAAGTAGCATCTTAAGAAGAACAATAAATTTGTAGAGAAGTGACATGAAAAAGGCAAAGGGGTTTAGGCTTTTGGGGCAGCACACTGTGGGAAGATGCACCTGTGGGGAAACTTGCACAAGACGAAGGCTCTTTTAGTAAGGCGTGTTAGGTAGGTTCCTTTCAGTGCTCTCTCTAGAGTTGTCTCTGGTGATAAAGAGTCAAAAGTCCCCTTCCTGGTACGGGAGAGGGAGACACTGTTACAAGTGGAAATTATGTCCAATTTCTAGGCAAATGGGAGGGAGGGCAGAGAGCCTTTTTGGTGTCTGATATTTCTCGATTGTCTTCAGCTCAAAATATTCCTCATGCCAAAGTGGCATATTTTGGGCTGACATATTCTGATCCCTGACACTTTGAAGCTAGAATGCCCTAAAAAGAAAAAGGTCCTGAGGCGGCAGGTTTGGGGCGTGGGGCCTTCCTGGGCTGAGCCTGGAAGCAGAGCGTGGCGTTTGCTCTCTGTCTTCTGGCCAAGTTCAAAGGGTCTGGGAGCTGGGGCTTTCCTGCTCACATCTTGAACATTCAAACACTCTGCAAACTTTAAAAAGAATCCCTTTGCTCCAAGCTGTGCCTGTGACCAGACACCACAGTCCGTGGAAGTCAGAGGTCTGTACAGCCACCATCGTGGCTGTGGCTGGAGCCACCAATCCTGTTCTGCAGCCAGGCCTGTTTGCTCTGGAGCCTTTGTAAAGAGCCCCTTTCATGCCTCACTTCCCAAGCAAGGGGAGAACAAAACATTTATCGTGTATTAGGTATGCTTTTAAAAGATAATTATCTTTTTAGTTAGAACTTTGAGTTTATGATGTCTTGTTAAATAAAACTTGGAAAATAGAGAAAAACATAATGAAGAAAATGAAAATCACTTGATTTGATCAGCCTTCAGATTTATCTTAAAAATAGTTTTAAATTACAGTGTTATTTTAATGTCAACGTCCAGGTTTAATTTCTCAAAAGCTTGTATAGTGCAAGGTTTGGTGGCAACCCCCCAGAAGAAGTCTTGTCTTAAGGACGTAGCCTTTTATGAGATACCTACAAAACAAAAATAAGGGAAATGCTAATAAAAATAAATAAAAAGATATAATTATAAATGCATTTTTTAAATTGAGTAGCATAAGTGAGGCCTGGGACCCTAGTGTTACCAAGAAGATATTTTTAGTGAAGAATTTTGCGGTGAGCTCCCAGGAATGGGGAATCAGAATTCTGATGGTGGCAGTGAGGCCACAGGCTTCAATTCTAGGCCTTTCTACCACTGCTCCAGATTTTGGAGGACACTTACTGTTACTTGTGATTTGCAAAACAATTGTAGGCTCAGATGCTTTGTTTCCTCTCTGGTCTCCCCACTGACCTGAGTGCTTTGAAGGTATTTTTGACCTTGGGAACCTCGGCGGCCGATGTCCTCCCTTCCACCTTTGGAGACTGCACAATGCACAGAGGAAGTGAATCGTAGCAGGCATCACACAGGCAGGCAGCTGTTAGCTATATACCAACAACTGGGAAACTAATAAGGAAGATATGCATGAAGTTTTAAACAGAGACTGACTTTTGACTCCTGCTTGGGTAGCTCTTCAGGGTTAATGCAGTGAGTTCACACGTCTGAGCCGATCATTTGATGCTCATATCCCTGCAGGGAGGATTTAGACGCTAATCATTGGTTTGAGAACCGGGGCTCAGAAGTCCAGCGATCGCCCAAAGCCTCACTTGCGCACGTGGCTGAGCAAGTGAGAGACTTGTACGTGGGTTTTCCGACCCCGGCCCCGTTTGTTTCTTTGTTGCTGCGGCTGCCTTGCGTTTCTGGGGGTTGGACGGTTGAAGCAGCACCCACCCCTCCAGACACCTGGTGTCCCTCAGTGCTCTTCTGTCCTTCTGCTTCCCACCCCTGCCCTCGCCTCCCTTTGCCTGACTTGCTGAATCAGGGACTGTCGTCTCTCTGTGTGTCAGGCTCTGATTGCCGAGGAGACGAGCAGCAGGCTGGCCGAGCAGGAAGAGGAGCCCGAGAAGTTCCGAGAAGCCCTGGTGAAGTTCGAGGCCAGGTTCAGCTTCCCCGAGGCGGAGAAGCTGGTCACCTACTACTCGTGCTGCTGCTGGAAGGGCAGGGTGCCCCGCCAGGGCTGGCTGTACCTGAGCATCAATCACCTCAGCTTCTACTCCTTCTTCCTGGGCAAGGAGCGTAAGTGAGGGCGGGCTGGTCCTCCGCAGCCAACACCAGCCCTCGGGGGCTGAGCCCCGAGAAGGGCCACTCACGTGAGCGTTAGACACCAGAAGAGCTGGAGAAATGGTTGGGATGACCACAGGTGATACGCGATTAACTTTATGTGCTCCTACGACCAGGGGGTTCGATTTTGAGAGAATTCATTTTCTCTGCAGCCTTAGGGAACTTTTTTGTGTAGCTCACTTGCTGTAGCTACTAAAGCGTGTTTGCTCCTGTAGATTGCTTTGAAAACACTGTCATAACTGATGGCCAGGTGTTTCTCCAAGAGTTGAACATATTCCTGCTTCTTAACACAAGGGGGCATTTTAAAAATTCCCAGCCCTGAAGGTCATGTCCGTCCCTTGGAGAAGGGGCTAGATGCACAGTTGCTTCTGGAAGGGGAATTCTTCCCTCGGGTCCCCCTTGAGATTCAGGCACTGATTCATTCTCACATGTTTATCCAGTGGCTGGCACTGTCCTTGGCAGTGGGATTCCCAGGTGAAAAAGAAAAGCCACAAGTGTCAACTGTATATTGAATGTTTAAAAAGTCATTCCCATTGAAACTATTTCCAGAGCCAAATATTGTCTCAAGTGTCCATGCTGGGTGGTATGGATGCTGTGTGTGTGTGTGTGTGTGTGTGTGTGTGTGTGTGTGTGTGTGTGTGTGTGTGTGT